AATATCAGAGTTTGGAGAAGAAGATGCATGCAGAGAGTGTGATGTAAACTTTCAAAAACTCCGTTTTGTTTAAAACGAACGTCCGCTCATCTGCTGACACCTGCATTTCACTATCTGATTTTCGGATCCTCGTCGCTTGACACCTGGCGTCCGTTCAGAGGAGTTTTGGGTGCGTTTTTAATGGTTCTTGACAAATAGCAATCAAATTAATTATGATAAATCGACAAGCTGTTATAAGTTAAATTATATTTAGTCCATTTAACTAAAATATCATGTTTAAGTGTTATGAATGAAAAAGCGTGATTAAAATCTCATGATTAAGATCTCATATTTTATATTAAAAAAAAGTACGACAAAAGTTAACATTTTTACAAAAGTTACACAAGGAAACAAATTTCTATGGCGTTGAGTGTTACAATTAACATTAAAACGAAGAAAACACATCTTTATCAAAAAGTTACTTTTCGAAAAGTGGAGTGAACTTATCAAGAAGAAGAGTGAGAATAGGAACTTCCATACAGATTAAGTGCTTCATGTAAGGCCCAAAAGATTGGTGCTAAGTCCCATAAAACAGACCGAGTCCATTGTGAGGCATAAGAAGAAGAACAATAATAATTCTTTAACACACAATTTTTATATTCATTTTACCTATCATTACTTCCGATCATTACTTTAAGAAGAAGAGTATTCCAAAGTGGCATAACGAAAAAGTCAACCACATTTTTCAAATTAGATGGGTTGTCTCGGTTTTGCGTATGACAATAACATAGATGGTTTGAAATTTTCATAACACAACTAAATGAAACAAGTTATGCCATTGCACAATTCAAATACAACCAAAAAGTCAAATAGTTTTATTGCTACAAGGGAGACTTTCGGGAGCCATTAGAAATTGAGGAGTACGGGGAGGAATCTTTGGTTGTGGTTGTGACGGCAGATGAAGAGTAGGAGAATTGAGTAATCTCCATGGGAGGTGCAAAGTACATTGGCACTGGCAACTTGGATGGAAGACTTGGCAAAGGGGCTTCAAAGTTAAGCACACTTATCACTTGCCTAATGGAAGGCCTCATTGTATGATCAGGGTGACAGCACCACAACCCCACAATCATCAAACATTCCATTTGCTGTTCTTCAAATTCCCGATTCAGTTTCTCATCAGCTGCTTCTAGTACTTTCCCTTTTCCATAGAGGTTCCACACCCACTCCACAAGCCTAACTTTACCAGCCTCTTCTTTCACCTCCACTGGTTTTCTACCACATGTGATCTCAAGTGCCACAACACCAAAGCTGTACACATCAGATTCCTTGCTTGATTTCCCTGTTGTCACACACTCTGGGGCTAGGTACCCCATGGTTCCAGCCAAAACAGTCGTTTGTGAACCCAGTTCGTGGTCTACCAGCCTTGCAAGACCAAAGTCACCAAGCTTTGCATTGAAATTTCCATCCAACATCACGTTGCTTGACTTGATATCTCTATGGACCACACACTGTTCCCACTCTTCATGAAGATAAAGAAGTGCAGATGCCAAACCTATGGCCACCTTGTATCTCACCACCCACGAAAGCATCACTCTTTTTCCAAATAGATGAGAATCAAGGCTTCCGTTTGGCATGAATTCATATACAAGAAGGAGCTCACCTTGTTCATGGCACCACCCTATGAGTTGAACCAGGTTTCTGTGTCTCAGACGGCTGATGACTGTCACTTCTGATATGTACTCCTTTTTCCCTTGCTTTGACCCTTTCGAAACCCTCTTCACTGCCACTTCAAGGTTGGAATTCACAATCAAACCTTTGTAAACTCCTCCAAACCCTCCTTGTCCCAGCTTCCCTTCTTCAGCGAAGTTGTTCGTTGCGTTGCTTAGTTCCCGGTAGGTGAACCTCTTTGGACCAGTTCCTCTCTCAAACTCATCATCTATGGCATCTACACCAATTTCCTCCTCGTTTCCACCCCTTAGTCTATTTCTCCTTCTCCAAAAGGTAAACCATATTAGACCTGCAGCACAAGCTAAACAACCCAAACCAACACTTACACCAACCACTAGGCCAACCTTTACCTTTTTCCCACCAACCTCATCCAAGGTTGAACTGAATGACCAAAGCAAAATGTTGTGTATCTCAACCGATTTTCCCGTTGCTGCAGAAAAGCCTATTCTAACAAACTCTGGCAACACGTCCCTCAAATCAATAACGTAAGAAAGACTGGAACTGCTATTGAAGGTTGGATTTTTAGCATAGGTAAGGAAGACAGATAGAGTTTTGGATGTGGAGTTGTACCATACCCAAGCATTAGCAACAGACCCGTTCTTAATGTTGCTCTTCCAAGTGACGTTTGCAACTGATTGAATGGAATTAACATTGATCCCTACGTGGTCTGAGCTCGGATCCCATTCATTCTTGAAACTGTCGAACTCAACTGCCACCATCTGATTTTTCTTCGTGTCGAATGCGGAATCCGGGCTGAACAGGCCAAGGAACCCACCAGAAGAATTGTTGGGAATGGAAGAATCAAAGGGTGCAAGGAAGAAGGCTAAGCCATCACCAATAAATGACTCGTTCACAGCTTTCATGATAAAAGAGAAATGGGTTTTGAAATCGGTGAGATTGTTTGTTTTTTTATCCCATATCCTCACTGGTTGTTCATACGAGGCTCGACCAACGCTACTTGTGATGGGGCCATCGAGTTGGTTCTTCGTGAGCTGAAGAACACCGTTTGAGGGAAAAGCATCACCCGTGAAATTTATTTGGTTGTTCAAGTTTGACTGCTGGAAGCTGGAAAAGTTGAAGGAAACTGACTCTACAGTGTTATGGAACAAAGTGAAGAAGATGATACATATGAAGAAAGATGTTTGTTTCTGGGTTTGATTAGAGCATGAAGAAGAGGAGAAGAAAGCCATGGTAGAGAGGGATAGAAGATTTTGATGGTGTTGATGTGAACAAAGAATATAGCAACTATATGCATCCACTTTCAAA